TTTATCTTGTACATCATGGAGAGCCTGGATTGTCGTCGTCGTTTCTCCAATGGTGACCAGCCTAGTGTTTCTAGCATGCTGCCAACACTAGAGGTATTCCTGTAGCGGTTTAGGACAAAGCGTGCTGCTCGTCGCTGGACCGCCTCCAACCTGTCAATGCTCTTCTGGGTAAATGGGTCCCAGACTGAAGATGCATAATCTAAAATCGGACGGATAAAGGCTTTATATGCTCTTTCTTTCACACAGGAGTTGCCAATCTTTAGATTTCGCCTTAAGAACCCCAAGGCTTGGTTTGCTTGGTTACATACATTGTTAATATGCTCGTCCCAGCGGACCTCTCTTTGAATGGTAACACCCAGGTACTTTACGGAGGAAACTTGCTCAAGAATATGGCCGTGCAGTTTGTATTGGTAGTGTAGAGGAGTACAACTTCTAGAGATTGATAGTGTCTGGCACTTGGCAGGGTGAAATTCCATGTCCCAGCTCATCTCCCACTCAGCTAACAGATTGAGATCCTGTTGTAGCTGGTCCTGGTCAGATCTGTTGGCGATCGTCCTATACACTGCTGTGTCATCTGCAAACAGTCTTGCCTGTGATGTCAGTTTCTCCGGTAGGTCATTAATGTATGCTAGGAACAAACAGGGGCCCAGGACTGATCCCTGGGGGACCCCTGACTTCACATTGACAAAGGAGGAGCTTGTACCGCCCACCACTACTGCTTGGCGTCGGTGGCTGAGGAAGCTAGAGATCCATGTTTTAGTGGTGCCTTGAATCCCATATATCTGGAGTTTGTGTAGAAGCAAACTATGATTCACCCGGTCAAATGCTTTTGCGAAGTCCATTACTAGCACGTCAGTCTGCTTGTGGTTCTCCAGATTGGTCATCAAGTCTTCTACAAATTCGAGAAGCTGGGTCTCACATGACCTATTGACTCGGAAGCCATGTTGACAGTCATTGAGTATATTTTGGCTTTCAAGATGCTTCATGACAGAGCTTACGATTATGTGCTCCAACAGTTTGCAGACCACGCTGGTGAGGGATATCGGACGATAGTTGGCAGGGTCGGAATGCTCCCCTTTCTTGTAAATTGGAGTGACATGCGCTGTTCTCCAGTCTGCTGGAACATTTCCTGTGCATAGTGACGATTGGAAGAGGATTGTCAGTGCAGGAGCGATTTCTTTGGCTAATTCTTTGAGCACTCGTGGTTTAATGTGGTCAGGACCACATGCTTTGTAAGGATTAATGGTATTGAGGAGGGCAAACACACCTTGTTCTGATATCTGGATATCTCCCATGATAGGATAGGCTCTGTTCATCATTTTGGTTTTCAGAAGGAACTCAGTCTCAGAGTACTCTCTACCGTCACCAAAGACCGACTGGAACTGCTGATTGAGTATCTCCGCCTGTGCTTTTGGGTCAGATGTCAATTGGCCATCCCACCTCAAGGGGGAAACTCCAGCGTTTGAGGACTTTTGGTGTTTCACATAGCTCCAGAAGCGCTTGTTCTTGACATCTTTGGTCGGGGTGTCTTCCTCTGAGAAGATGCCGTTCATGTAGTTCCAATACGATCTACGCAATAAGCGTTGAATGGTTCGGCGGAGTCTCAGTACCTCCTCTCTCAGTTCCATCGAGCCATTTTTCTTCATGCGTTTGTATTGGCGGTCTCTCCTGTGGATGAGCCTACGGATTTCAGCCGTGACCCATGGCTGATTTATCCTAGGTTTGGTGATTTGGTGTGGTATAAATTTCTTCACTGCATCAGTGATTGTAGTCTTGAACTTCACCCACAGCTCGTCTGTTGTCGCTGTACCTTGAATCACCTTCATGTTTGAGCTTAGCTTGTCTTGTAAAGTTAAAAATATCTATCTGCATCTCTCTATCTCCGTGCCTGTCAATCCCTTATATAGGTTGGTCTACCCACGCGTCTAGAAACGCCCTTATTTTTCTAATATAATCGAGAACGTTCCATCAGTTACTAGTAGACATACTAACCATGGTTAATTGGAATTCGGTAGTAAACACGATACTTCAAAGAGACTAACCACGCCCACAACAAACGCTACCGTCTGCTATGAATCTACTGTGTGTGGGAAAGTTCAAGCACGGGGAAATGGTGTAAACACGTTACACATAACATCCTGTATTATTGTCCGAAAAGCCAATAGTTGGTTCTGAGTAAGTTTGAAAGTTAGAGAGAAAAAAAAAAAAAAAAGAAGACCATTTAACATTTCGTTTCACGTCATTATTTAGTAACAATATTTTTTTTAATAACTTAAGTTGTGTCAGGACAAAATGTTGCAAAAACTTTAAAGCAAAGACACATGATATTTATTAACAGGAATTTAATGATAGAAATCAGCCACACAATACAAATAGGGACATGTTTAGCTGCATTAACCTGGCACTTGTATGAACGAAATCGTCCACACAATACAAATAGGGACTTGTTTAGCTGCATCAACCTGGCACTTGTATGAACGAAATCGTCCCCCCCCCCAAAAAAAAAAAAGGGGCTACATATTTCCAGGATGAGAATCCCTGTGTTATCGCCCCCGAACCTTCATGATTTGTTTTGTTTAGCTGCATTAACCTGGCAATTGTATGAACGAAATCCTCCACACAATACAAATAGGGACTTGTTTAGCTGCATCAACCTGGCACTTGTATGAACGAAATCGTCCCCCCCCCCAAAAAAAAAAAAAGGGCTACATATTTCCAGGATGAGAATCCCTGTGTTATCGCCCCCGAACCTTCATGATTTGTTTGAACGCTGTCATTCATTCTGTCTGCGTCACCAAAGATTGAGATAAATAGGTCAGGGTCGCCAAAGCTTGACATAAATAGGTCAGGGTATTTGTTTAAAGGTCACCGGAAAACCCTAAGGACCCTCATAGATAATTTTCGAACGTTTTGTATTTGAATTCATTGTAGTGCAGTTTATGGCCAACCAATTTAGGTACACTATTCAGATCTGCCTTACCAGTCTCGTTTTTTTTTTTTTTTTTTTTTTTTTTTTTTTTTTTGTACAGTATTCGTCAAAAGTAACTATACTAAAATTCTTGTAACTTGAATGATTTTTAAGCCCGTGCATAGTATATTCCGTGATCGATTCCATATTACGTGTTGAGAAACATGATAGGAACATAACGAAATAAAATAAAAACATAGCGTCGTCCATTAGCTAGCCACTATTTTTTTAACAAAATAATGTTTCGTTCCCCAAAGAGTTTTTTTTTCCAGATATCATACATAACCTGAATTTACTCCATATGTGGCTCACCCCAGGATAATCTTTTAGCCCAAGATTAGTTTTATCTCCGTACTGTTTACACCAACCGACGGGGATAAGGGGGCGCTGAAATTGAGGGCGTCAATGGCTCCCGATTAACAGCGGTGGGGGAGGGTTTTGGGAAGGGCTCAATGAGTCGCATTGATGCATTTTGACACATACCTGAATTAAGATATTTATCATTCTACACGTAAAGGAGTAAAAAAAAAAGTTGGATGTCTCTTGACCTGGTTTTGTTTATGCAAATAATTTATGGCAAGTTGAAAATAAATAATAATTATGTTATATAATTTGTAGTTTAACTATTTCGTCAAACTACTTCATTAATATCTGTTGTAAATTATATAACATAAAGAAATATATATATATATATATATATATATATATAAATATATATATATATATATATATATATATATTTC